ATGCAGACTTGTGTTTTATTACATATTGCTGGTCTCTGCATCCTTACAGGTGGCTACAAGGCATTGATCCTTCATTAGGGTCCTACAAAGGAGAGACATAGGGCTAGGCTAGCTTGTCACTTCTTCTTGCATATGTTACTGCATGTGGGAATTAAAGGCCCTTTAGTTCAGGCTGCCTTTCCAGTGCAGTGACAGAAGCAGCAGCACAGTAGTTGCTGAAGCAGCCCTTGTGTATTTGAAGAATACACACTGATTTTTTTTTTTTTTTCCCCAAATATTTAAGCCCTCTTTTCCCCTGAACCCCCTTTTTTTAATCCCTTGAAGCGTTTTTAAGGAAGTAAGTATTGTTGGCGGCTTGCTTTATTCTCCCTTTATTTTCATAGCAAAGCATGCACCTGGTAAGTGCTTGTATGTAGCTTTATAGTCTCTGCCTGTATTGAAGGCAGCCAAATTATTTTCTTAATATTGCCTTTGTTTATGTTCCCCTGAAAAATTAAAGTATTTTAATGTTGGGGGGGGAGGGGGGGGTTGTTTGTAGATAATCATCTCAGTGATTGCTCCTCCATAGAGCAATATTTTTTTAAAGAACTTAGAGGAGTGTTGCTTCTTTTACAGACTCTGTTTGCTCCATGTTCTAGCCCATTCTCTTGAGCTTAGCCTTGACATAAGGAGTTTTATTCTTGGGTTCAGGGGAAAGTAACCCAAAAGGCGAGCAAGGTAGGTGGAGCGTTTCTCTACTTATCCAAAGCAGTGAATTGTATACTTCCTTTTCTGGGTTCAGAGCTGCAAATGTTTATGTAGCCATCAGAGTATTAGACTTGCCTGTGATGACTGAGCAGTATGACCAGTTGTTGGTTCCAGATACCTGAAGACCCTGGAGTGCTCAGCCTGTGTCTATCCTGGTACAAGTCTTTTGGAAAGGTGAGACAGTCTGGTCAAGGCTGATGTTGCATTTCTCACTGCTGCTGTTTCGCTCAGCTTTTGATAGTGTGATGTTGGAGCTGAGAGGGAGAGAGCAGCTTTGGGTGCAGAGGGATAGCTGCCAGTCCTGATGAGCTTTGTACAAGCTTGCTTGAGGTTAAAGGCATAGACAGCTTAAGGCAAAACTGGAAAACTAAACAGTTGCTAGCTCTAGTCAGAACTTCCAAATCAGGATATAGCACTCATAAGCAAGTGGTGCAGTGAGTACAGCATTTTTCTCTTTGTTTGCAGTTTAATAAGGCAAATTAGGTTATTATATAACACCAGAGCACATTTGTCTTGATCATGAAAGTTGATATAGGAAAAAAAATTGAATAAAGAGTGGCTGGAGCCCCTAGATGCTGCAACTCTTTGCAGAGCCTCTTTGATTGCCAAAAAGAGCTTTGTTGCTGTTTCTTCTGCCTTGTGTGACCCACCGGTGGTCGCACCGCTAATGATTAAATCTCTTGGGTGATTTGACATCTGCTCTTCTGAACTATGATTGCTTTGGGTTTTATATGCCCATTTCTCACTGTAGCATCGTGAGTATTTCACGTCGACCATCATAATTCCAGAATGCTGCTCTTTCTGCTGAAATGTGCCAGCTCCCTCTTTAAGATTCTGGAGTTATACTGGAACCGCTTGGTTGCTTTGTGGAAGTCACTTGTGTGTGTAAGATACGAAGAGTTTATTTGCACCTTTGGTGAGTGTGTGTTACATGAAGGCTTGGCATCCATTGGGCAGGATGGAAGAGCTCAGTTTTCTAACCTTCAGCACTTTGTTTTTATGCATTGCCTAATTCTGGTAATGGAGCGTGGCAAGGGAATGTGCTGCTTTCCTTCTCAGTGCACTGGAGGGTGAGGTAAAGGAATAGTCAGTCTCGCTGAGTGACATTCAGTCTTTGCTTTCCTTCCTGACTTTTGTTGGGAATATTTTGAATTTTCCCTATTAAAATCTTCCTTGTTCCTGCAGTTACTGTTATGGGAAGCAATTCTGGTTTTATTCTAAGCATATTCTAAGCATAAGGCCTTCACTCAACGTGTTTGTAAAACTGGCTTGTTTTTGCAGTTAGTTTGGTCACAAGAGGTAATAAATAGCAGCTGTAGCATGGGATTTTGCCTGAGTCTAGTCATTTAAAAGGCTGCTGTTGTTTTTCCTCTTTCTTGCTATAAATCTCTAATTTGTTACCTTGCACAGAAATAATTTCTCTTGTATCTGTCTCCAATAGCAGTTCCCACAGAGTCTACCACGTTTTTCTAATGTGTTTTTTTAGGAAAAGTGAGAATCTGGAGCTCGTGTGAGAGGCTGCATTGAGAACCTGTGAAACTGAATTTTACTGACAGCCAAACTGTGACAGTGTGAGCAGGAGCACCCGGGGCTTTTTCTGCTTTGCCCCTCTCCTGTGTGCTCCTCGCTTTTCAAGGGACCAGTGGGTCCTGAGGAAGGCTGCAGCTTCTCAGTGCGAGGAAAGAAACAGTTTGGTCGTAGCTAGGGGAGTGCAGCTTCTGAGTGTGAGCATCTGTCAGTCAGCAGCTGAACTGAGCTTGGCTTTAGAAAGGTCACTAAGAAAATTAGGCTTGGTGAGAGTCTGGGAAATCATACTGGGACTGTATAATCTCATCTGGCCTCAAGAGGTGAAAAGCTTGGCCTTCTCATCCTGCGTGGCAGGATTATCGTTACACGGTAATGGTTTTGATAGTAAAGCAAGTTTAAGAAGTCCCCTTCTTGCCCCCGCTTCCCACTCTGTTTCGTGACCGGGCAATTACAGCTGTTTATCCCTAACAATTCTGTGAATTCTGTGAACTGATCTCAGTTAAAAATAAGCATCCCAAACATCAGCAGCATTGATGCAACAGAAGAGTTGTGACCAGTGGCAGAGAGAATAGTAAGCTTGTTTTGCTGCCGAAGCCAAAGTATCTCATAACTGTGCACTTGCTGTGTTATTTGGTGTCTTTGTTCCGAGTTGTCAGTCAAATAGTGGATTTGAAAGGAAAAGGGTTCAAGCTTGGTTGTGGTCATCAGATCAAAAAATGCCATCTCGAAATTAGCTGTACTCCTCTCAGATTAGCTTGTATGCTTTACAACTCTAATAATAATTTCCTGCCTGCTGAATAGGCCCAGTCAAGAAGACTCATCAGTGTGCAAACATTGCCTCTAAAAAGCGTGGATACAGAGTCTGGCTGCCAGTGATGCATGAAGTGAAACAGAGTAGGTCTAGGCTTCTTGCAGCAGAGCCAGGTCTTCTGATAGCTGGGCTTGATCTTGCAAATTTATCTGGGGAAGGGATTCTGTTCCCTCTGGTATGATTGATTGTTAAACACAGTGCCAAACCCAAAAAAACCCAACCAAACAACCCAAACCAACCCCCACCCCCCATCCCCCCCAAAAAACCAACCCCAAGCCAGCAGCCACATCTTATTTACAGAGTCTTTCCTACCCTGCTGTGGTGGGATCAGAAAGGACAAATTCGGAGATGGTGGATAGTGTTTCTTAAACATATGGGAATGGCTGCAGGCAAGTCTAATCTATTACCTTTTCATTTTGTGAAGCAAGATAGGGAATTTAAAGAATGTGTGACATCTCCTCTAATTTTCACCTATTAAACAGTTGCTTTATGCTGTAACTATCTCTTCAGACTCTTGTTTTGTGAATTTCTCCAATATAGGCTGTGTTTCTATGTTATTCTCAGCCTGCTCTGCTGTACAGGCTGGAATACAGTTTACACACAGCGGTGCTCCCTGGACTAGCTCCTATAGACCTCCAAGTACCATGCAGAGAATGTCTTAAGTCCTGAGATATCTCTGTTTCTGATAACTTACTTTTTGATCCTTCTTTGTTTTGCTTCTCTTCAGCTTAATGAATGTTTTCTTGTACAGATGTACGGCACTCTGTGTGATGAAACCCTGTAATGAGCAGCTGTAGACTGTTGGAGGGGTTTTTTTGGTTTTTTTTTTTTTACAGTCTGAAAGAGCAAGACATAGAAAACAAGTTTTGAAGGGAGTTGTGTAGGCTTAGTGGCAGTGGTGGGCTAGAAAACTGTATGGCCACTCTGCTCGGTTCATTAATCGGGTTGTCCTAACAGTAATGTGTTTGTGAGATTACAATTTCTAATGTGCTCAGAGAAATGGATTTCTTCTCTATACCCTCCTTTGTGTCCTGGGAACTTTTTTGTTATTTTTGTGAGCAAAATCATGGGAGGCAGACTCTGGGAATTGATGAGAGAGAGGTGAGCAAGGCTTGCAGGATGGAAACATGGGTCATGCATAGCCTTCTCCTGGCAGAACTATAGAGCAGTGGTATTGGCCCAGTTGCATCCAGGAGCGCACATACTGCTCTGATGCATGTGTTGAACATGACTGAAAGATTTCAGTGGCTGTTCAGGTTTCATATGTGAAAGAATCCTAAAATAAGGAGACTTCTTTCAAGAGAGTTACTAAGGAAAAATCCAGTCACCAGGAGCACTCTGGGAGTCTCAGAATGGAAGAACTCTCATTAACCTACTTGGAGCAAGGGCGTGTGTGCACATGCATGCCCTGTAATTTCATGGCTGCTGTTCTTGGAAGGGAGCAGTGGTCGTGTTTCTTGGAGCAGAAGTGTAAGATGAAATACTGCGTTTTGCTAATAGGGTTGAATGACCTGAAATATATCCATCTGGAACATGAGGATGGGAGGAGGGGACAAGGTGATTTCTGACGAGTCTTATCGCCACCCTGAACTGAGTTTGCTCCAAAGCGTGGTCTTTGTTTTCAGCACAGTACTGAGCAGCGATTTGTTAAGTATCATGCAAAAAATAAAACTATGGTTCCCAAGAACATTCAGATAAGCAAGATACTCCAGCCTCACTGTAGCTGCCTGATTTACTAAAAATCCAGTATGCCAACCTTACTGCTTGTGCCTTTCTCCTCAGCTCACCTATTCCATTGCAAATGCTTTCCTAAAATAATAAGGGGAGCAGGTTGTGGGGAGTCTCTGAATAAAAGCTGTGATAAAATGGAAGTGTGTTTACTGTACTGATCTATTCGCTCTTTCCTTTAGGCACAATGGCTACAGTAGCCCAGAAACACTTTTTGGAAGGGCAGACGTACTCAGTCCCCCTGATCCAACCAGACTTGCGGAGAGAGGAGGCGGTTCGATGCACTTCAGTATCTGCAAAAGGTATCGGGCGATATCTTCAACAGGTACGGTGCTTTCACATGGGGGTTGAGAGCTTAGCATCCAGCAGTAGGAAACAGCGCTGTGATAAGGTTGCAGCAGTGAAAGGGCATTGCATTGGCAACCAACAGAAGTTCAGAAAAGGTATTAAGAAGGACCAGATACACGTCAATAACAGCTTATTGGATTTGGGTTTGTCAAAGTTAAGCATAATGAAGTGGCTGCAGTTAGCCAGAGGTTGGTTGTTATTAATTTTTTATTTGGTGGCAGACTCCCACAAATTGCATTACTGCTTCTGCTGCAGTTATCCTTTATTCCTTCTTGCTCATGTTTTAAATGGGAGACTTTCTTACTTAGAGTATCTAGAAGATACATATTTTTGAGTCTTTATACTTGGAGCAGTGGAGTAGAAAATGTCTCTTTGTTCTGATCTATGGGACTTACAAACTGTTCTCTCTGGGCTTCTAGTGTTTTGCGCTTCGCTTTTTGTATGTTGAGAGGGCTGAGTGCATGACAGGGTCGGTTCTTTTCAACCCAGTCTCATAGTCTGTCTAAACTGATCTTTTCAGGGATTCAGCCTAGGCTTGTCACCTCTTGCATATCGTTAGGATTGGATCTATAAGACTACCTGTATAGCCAGAGAGATTCTTGTGTTTGCCTGCAAATGATGTTAGGTGGCATGGTGTCTTTTTTCATCCAATGCCATGTTTGATATCTCAGTGCCCTGAGATGGCACATCGTATCATTTGTGCAGAAACAGATCAACATTTATCTTCTCATAGCCTGATTAGCAAAAGCACTTGCTTTTGTTTCAGTGGAGATCATGACTACATAATTTGATTTATTATGGTGTGAGCAGGACTGTGGCATTGTTTCTTCTTCTGAGGTTTTTTTTTTAAGGGCAGCCTGAAGTTCTGCAATTTTTTTTATAGTGGTACTTTGAAGAGCAGCCTCTGAGGAAAGGGTAGTCACTAAGGCTGAGCTCAGGTCATTGAGGCAAATAAAGGCTTTTCATTGGAATAGTCTTTGGGCAGGGGCTCCTGGGCAAGGGAGTGGGCGTGTGTGTAGGCTGGATTAAGTTAAACACAAGGTCTCATTCTTTTGTGGACTTCTCAGTATGGGAACTCTTCATGCTATAAGGCTGGGAGAAGCCTTTCTAGAGCTGCCAGAAACATGTGGAAGGCACTTCTCAAACCTGGGACTGGTTGGCAGTGCTGTCTCTCTCTGTGGGGCAAATAAAGCTATTGATAAAACAGAAGTGGTTCTTTCTCCAGTCTCTTTTTCTTTTTTTCTCCTGCTCGCTGCTTTGTAATGCAGTACCCTGTAATTTCCCCGGGGAGACAAGCCTGCTGTTTTGTATGCAAGTCACTGCTGAGTCCTGAACAGTGACTGTGATGCTGTTCCCTCGCTCTTCGGTGCACTCATGACTTTTAATTACCAATTTTTTCCAACAACAGAGGAGGCTTCATTGGGCTCTTTGTTTGCTTTGCCTTTCCTCTGAGGTCTTGGCTCTCTGATATAATTAATAACGTTTTAGTAATTATGCAGGCGTCTGATTAAAAGTTCCATGACCTTGGTTGTTCCATGCCAATCAAGGGGCAAAGCTTTCAAGGTGAGAACTTTGTCACTTAGTGAAGAGTGACCTTTTACCTCTCCTTTCCTGAGATAAAGCAGCTCTATCTTCCATTTCCAGGAAGGAGCTGCCTTATCTGGGGAAGCTGACTGTTCTCATCTGCAAAACAGCAGCTTGCAGTGTTGATGGAGAGGAAACTTGTTCAGTGTGGCGGACTCAGCTGAGTGTGTCAAACTCATTACTTCAGTACTACAAAGATGCAGATGTTCTGGGGTTGTTTTGTGGGAACAGTTGGATTGGTACAGTGGTATGCTGATTTGTGATTTGGTGAAGGTGAAGTGAAAGAATCTCTCTTACTTTATATGGAAAGAGGAACCTTTCCACAACCAAATCTTTTTTCCATGTTAGCTGATGAAAGCTTCTGCTTTGAGTTGTTGCTGACATGACAATTGAGTACGAATTGTTAAAAGGAACACGCCCATCCATTGTGCAAGGAAGGTGAGCTTTTTCTTTCTTTGGAAACTGTCTGAAGGAAACTGTGGTGCTGTTGTGGTTGTAGAAGAAATATTCCCTGGGCTAGTTAATGGCTCTGCAGAAGCAGCAGTGCTGAAAAGTGCCTGTGGATTCAGTCTTCTCAAGGGGACACAAGAAAGACACCTTTGTATTTGGAGAATTGGGAAGAAGATAAGCAGCATTCATCCCCTTCCCCCTGGTTTGGGGAATCTGGGGAGTAACCCATGAGACAAGATTCTGCCAAGGTGTCTTCTTTCCAAAAGCAGTTAAACAAGCTGACTTGCTATTAACTGTGGCAAGGTACGTGGTGAATGAGGCATTTCACAGAGTTCTTTAGTTTGTAGAGAGTCAAGGGATGTGCAGGTACAAAAAAACAGGTGAACTGTGTCTGAGACCCAGAGCAGACCCACTGGGAACAGCCTTGGAGAGCAGGTCTAGCAACCCACAGCAGCAAAACATCCTCTTTACCTTGCTAACAGTGCACCTGCACTGCGATCTGGAATCACTAAGAAAGAGCACGGGGTAGGCTCAGCATCCCTCTGTCATATTCCTAACCCTTGGAAACAGGGACCCATCTGGCCTCTTCCATATGGAGAACAGCAAAGTACCACTATCTTGCAGAGGGAGAGCGCTGACCTGGGCACGCTCTTGGCTGCTGGGCAGTACAGGTTGATGTCTTAAGTCAGTACTGTCAACAGTCCTGTCCTCTTTGGAAGTCCTGTCCTCTTGGTGCTGATATCAGCACTGTGAGGAGTTCAAGAGGCTGCACGTACTTTCCAGGGTTGTGTTTTGGAGTAATGGAAGTTTTAACCTTGTGTATGTTAACTGAATTCATGTAATTATTCTGCTGTGGAAGCTGCAGTAAAGATCAGATTCATTGCCTGTAGCTACTGAGATTTTAGTACATATGATTACTGCTTAAAACATAAATATTTTAATATAGCCAGTCTGACATAATATCTCTATGAGTTTAACTCCTGGACTTCTAAGGAGGGCTTTTGATATAGGTCACAGGAGGCAGAATGACCAATTGAAACACTCAATCAGTAGTCTGTCTTCTATTTGTTTTGTCATTACCAGCATTTTCTGGGTGACGGCTTGTGTTGGAATCGTGTGCTATGCATTTTTTATTTTTTTATTTTTTTTACAGGAGTGTTGTTGTGATAAATACTTCAGATAGGTTGTAGGTTTAGCTTTCCTGAGATGCCCCCCCTGGTTAGCTAGGCTTGTCCTTTGGGATTTCTCAATTTCTGAGGAGAGTTTTGGTTGCCAGGAGATGTTAATAACCTCTAATATGTCAGTTCATTATTCAGAGTGTACACTCTTGTATAACAGATTAGTGGAAAATTGTCTATGCAAGTTATCTCATGGAGAGTTATAGCAGTAGAAAGAAAACAAATACTTGGGGTTAGAATGTTATCGTCAAGGTCCTGGTCTCCTTTGCCTGTGGTCCAACCCTAAGTTATCCAGTATACAAAATTTTTCATCCTTGTGCTTCTTTTTTTCAGTTTAAGGAAGAATTTCTGGGTTGATGTTTTTAAAGATCATTATTCAGTGTCTTTTGCTTGTCTAGAATAGTATTTTACTACACGGGCATATCCTTCTTGTTCTTCCCCAGTTGGATTCAAATTAATTTCATATTAAATATTTGAAAAGGGCTTTAATATTAAACAAAGATTTAACTGAGGGCCACGCTTCTGAAAGCGGTAGTTGGAAAACAAAAGCACTGTGGAAATGCTGTTAAACATGGGGAGGAAGTCTGATAAGTGTGTGATTAAAGAAGGTAAGGAGTGGCAGGCTAGGCAGCAGAGCCTTACGGAATGTTTGGGACAGGAGCGGGGTTGACATACAAGTAGTCCTGAAATTGAAAATGCAGACAAAACTTTAATTGTGAGGTACATTTGAGTGTTCCTCCTCTTGTGTTAAACTTAATATTGTGATTAGTCATGATGATCAGGAGTGGAAATAGGTGACTGAATAGCTCCATAAGAATATACTTGATTTAGGAGGGCTGTGGAATGTATTATTAAACATTTGTGGAAACTTGCAAAGAAGGCTCTTGCCGCAAGCTGTGCTGCATCCTTTGTTGCGCGCTGTGGCTCTGGGATGGAGCTTGGAGCTTGGACACTGAATTGTTGGCTGGCTGTAAGGGTTTGATCTTACTAGGAGGAGAGCTGTAAAGAGAGCTCCATTGTGATGGGTTGCCATTCAGGTGAGTTTACACCAGGAGACTGGCTGTAGCACAGGAAATCAATTTTTCTCCAGTTAATTTGAGAGTGATATGGCTCTTGTTAAGCAACAAGTCACCTCATGGTATTTTGAAGTTGTCCCAGAGGCTGTCTGAGCGACGATGCTAGGTCTAGTTTAGTTTCACATACCTCTCTTGAGGGGGTGTAGAAGCAGTCACTTGCTGCCAGGAAGATTAGGCAGAAATGGTGAGGTAAAGGAGTGAGAGGGTAGTCCTGCAGACGTAAGGACAGGCGGCACAGGGAAGCCAGAGGGAGGAATTTTGCCTGCAGATATTGGTTACTCTTGTAGAGGCACGTTCAACTACTGTGTCTCTCTTTTTTTTATTTTATTTTAAAGTGTAGCACACACTTTGTAAGAAACTGCTTGTTTGTTTTAGTTCTCATGGCCCTCTGGAAGATACATTTGAAAGCTTGTAAATGTGTAGCTTGAGAGAGGTTCCCAAACTATCGGGAAGACTTTAGTAGGCAATATATGGGGGTTAGATCAGCACCCATGGAAGGCTGGTGGCAGCGGGCAGTAGCAAGCATCCTATGCCCTCAAAAAGTGATGAAGGAATAGTGACTGTTCTGCAGGAGTCCAGATTACAGCTCTTTCTGGATGCTGCTAAAATCCCTATACTTAAAATCTCCCAGGATCTGAGGCCCAGGCTCAATTCAGATGCCTTGACAGCACATGGAGTGGGGCAGCAGG